AATGTCTTGTTGATTCCCCCTTTCAGTCGAAGATGGAAGGAGTCAAAGGGATTTATCTTACCCCATTCCAATGCATCTTTCATCACATTATGTGGGGAGGCGATTGGGTGTTTCTAACTGACCAATCGACAAAAAATAAAAAAATTTAAAAAATGAGAGATGGAACCATTATCGCAAGCCAACGGCGGAGAAATAATTTTCTCCTGGTTGGTCTGACATGACAAGCATGTTGAACTTGAGGTGTCAAGGGAGGTGAAGGACCTGCCAAAGAACCAGCATGTGAAGGTCTACAGTATGAGGGAGAGGACAGGGAGTAAGGGAGAGGAAGGAAAATCATTAATCACGTCACAGTCTTGTTCTGGTGAAGGCAGGAGAAAGGCCAGTGGAACAAGAACGCTGAGAGTACGGGTGGTCAATCAGTTTACAAATTTCAGTTGTGATCGAGGACTTCATTGCAACTCGGGTTGCAAACTGCCGCCCACTCTGCCTTGGCAAACCGCATCATATCAGGGCCAAATCCCCATGCCGTGACCTGTGGCATTCCCCTGCCTGCTGCGCGAAGCCGCTCGTTCCATTTCAGGCCAGCCTCCGTTGTTTTACTGCGGTTACATTGGATCGCCTTACATCCTGGATCTGCCAACACGTTGGGTCTCTGTTCAGTTTTCCAGGCATTTGTCTTTTTCTCAAAACACACACACACTAACTTTCCCACTTCCACGAGATCCAAACATACTGCAAATCTTTTCCATTTTGCACACCGCAGTATACCTCTGCAGACACTTTCAACCCGTCCCACATAAATAAGTCCCATCTGAACAGGGGACGCAACTCGACAGGGTGTTTCATAAGTCTTCTGTATGTCGCTTTACAAAAACTCCTTCCTTGGTTAGCAAGATAAAACCGGTTTCACGAGAAAGGTGAATTAAGCTTTCCACTGCGGTGGTCTTGTCAGACCATTGTTACGTCAAAATCTTTTTTTTTTTTTTTTTTAAGTAAAACGTGGTGTGCACTGATTTCATGGCTATCTACTAATAATACCATTCACTCGGTAAAAGTCGGCGTTTTGGCTATGTTCAGACTGCAGGAAAATTTGACCCCAGTTGTTGTGTTTTTTTTTCATTTTTAAAAAAAATGACAGTGTGAATGATTCACCTAAGCATCAATTTTTTCAGGAAATATAAGTTGGCTTTTCATATCTTCAGCAGTCACTGAGATACAAGATGACGTAAAATGACACAGACTTATGAAACGCACCCGTATTTTCCTTGTGTGTCACCTCGATCTTTTCAGATAATAAAATGCTGATCAAACACAAGTAAGGTTTGGCTTTAACTACTGCTACACTTGATAAATGAGAACAGCATTATCGGCATCAGCGGGAACCTCGCCATACACACACGAACACACACAGTGCTGATGGACCAAAAAAAAAAAAAAAACACTGTGAAAACACATCCCCTGTGCTGTAGTTCATCTACGATTAACGCTACTATCAATCATCTTCTGATCTCATGACAACATGTCCACTGGGATGCAACAGTAGTTTTTCAATGTGCAGTCTCAAGGAAAAGCTCATACTTCCGACTCAATGAGTGAAAACAGAACACGAAAATAGAGACACTCGGTCCAGCGCAGATCTCTTTTAAAGCCGGACAATCTTTATTCAGATCGGCGCTGAATTGTAAAGTACACCATGAACAATAAGATTCACGCATTATTCACTGAGAAATGAATGCTCCTTTCCCATTCTGCTCGGCATGGCCATGAAAGGTTTTCACTGGCACCCCCAAAAGTTATATCAGGGCCAGAATATTTCGAAAAACTGGATCAAGTGGGGTTCGTCGTGTGCTGAGCCGATGCTGTATGGGTAATGAAAACCACTGCTGGTCATTCATTGGTAGAGCAGAAATGTTCCAAATGTGAAGACCCAAGCTAACGTTAGCTTATCCTGTTGGATGAGCTAATGTTAGCTTATCCTGTTGGACTGGATGCTGTAGAATTATTCTTGACACCATGTAGAAATCAAGTACTGTATTTTATGTGTGATGACTCACTCACAGTGACTTACTGACAAGAAATTAGAACGGGTTTTACTGCCCTGTGTTTTTAACGAGTATCTCGACTGGACGTTCAAAACATGGACGTAAACACCAAGCTATTTCAGTTTTGTTTTGAAGACAAGCGAGCCAAAACAAGAGCCGGTGGCCCTTCCTCTGTTTTAATAAACCAAGCGTCATCCGCATGGGGGAAAATGAACATAATGTTTGACACTTCCGGTAAAATCTCACTTTAGTACATGCGCAACAAAATGAGGGCATAAATTTGTTATTTAACCAACAAAAACATCAAGGCAATGCTTTGTGATAGCGTGAACCTTCGTTTATCTTGCTACTCATTGTAACAGGAGCAACATGCAGAGGACCATCCTTCTATCATAGGAATCTTTTATTCTGACTATTATTTGCAGATATGCTCTCATTCTGATGTTGACCGTAAGTCTGCTTCAATATTTCACAATTAAGACAAGATCATCATTATTAGTCCCATACTGTGGAAATGTAAGATGATTTGGGGTTTTAATTTGCATACATTAAAATGAATATGCATAATGACTAACAAGTTAACATTTTTTTTGCAGTAAGGCTCTCTCTCTATATTTTTAAAACTGGTAAAACACACACAAAAAAATAAACTTTTTTTTTTTGGTCCACTTTTGTCTTTGCAGTTCACACATCAGCCTCAAAGTTCTGTGGTTTGGTATTCGAATGTCCGTTTCCACCTCTCCTGGCTTAAAGTGAATCTATTGTTTTCTTTTTTCCTGCGCCTTAGCAGGTCTAGTTATTTGCCAGCAACGTATGCATCCATATCTGTACGCCTCTCAAACGTGATTATGAGAGTGAACGCAATCCTGATAATTTGGTCAGAAATGTGTGCGTGCAGATATGCACGACTATACTGTATGTGTGTGGGAGGTCGGAAACGGATATGTAAAGGCTGAGGTAGTTCCTTGGAAACAAAGGCCCCCGAATCACATGAGTCTTTCCTTTCACAGGCGCCCAAGGCTCGCATCCACCTCACTGGAACGCTTGAGAGAGAACATCCTGGAACTGCCACCCCCTCGTTTCCCTTCACCTCACCGAGAGAACATCACGGCAATCAATAACGCATTCGTTTGTGAAACAGCAGCAATTGTTACTACAATGCTGTCATAATGGGGGGCTTTGGTTCAGAAACTGAAATGAAGTCAAGTTCTTAAAAAAAACAAACATATGACCTCTTTAACCCTTCACTACCCTATCACAGCACAAACTCTCGTCGTATCATCTTTCACTCTGGATAATCAACTTCTCTCACTTTTCATCCCTCCACTTTTGCAATGCTCTTATGCTTCGTTTTACTGGCCTGACTGCGCCGTTCAAAGGTCATCCCTCCACCCCTCCACCTTCTCTTTTATGTTCTCCCGCCTCCTTTCCTCCTCTCCTTATGGGAGGCCCCTTTTCCAACACGCCCAGCACGGCCGGCATTCCACAGACTGTGGGAGCACCATCAAACGCTCGACAAGCATAGCAGACGGCCGCTCGCAGCCACATGTAGGGTGACTGAGCCGTGGCCTCAACTGCCATTAAGCCACGCTGGCGACTTTGATTGGGGAAAGGAACTGTCGGAGCGGCGGTGCAGTATGTGTGATGACAAGGAGAAAGCAACTGCGTCTGGGGTGATAACTGCGTCGCATTAGCCACTTGCAAGCTACCACACGGGAACACGGGTGCCACTGCAGGGGCCTCTCGTGTGGGTGCTGGAGAGGGCGGCAGCTGCAGTGGACTTGCTGGCTTCTCAGAGCACTTCTTCATCTGACCTCCCAAAATTCTTCAGGGCGCAACTACGCTGACACACAGCTCCAATTTCAGTCTCTCAAGCAAGACCAAGTGCGATCAAGCATGGGCCTGTACATCAATGCACGTGTGACACGTCAACTCTGATAAATGGTCAATGAATTCATAAATGCAAATGCAATGTTGCAGAACTTGTAAAGCAAGCTACAGTAGTCCCTTGTGCATTTCAAGACTTTCGTTCCAGCACCCCTTGCGATTGATGAAAATGTGCGAGAAAAAAAAAATTATGGATGTATATTTGTTTAAAGCATTATACCTAATAACATTACAAAATATGCATGTGAGGTTCAGGTTTTATTTTTCTTCTCTTGGGGTCGCAATCACATTCTACAGTGTAGCATCTGTGACTTTGAATGTGTGTGGCTTGAAAAGATGGTCTGCCCTGGTGAGTGATGTGGCAGTCAGTAAATTAATGTTGAGGTGGCTATTGGTGGTTCAGAATAACGGTTGGCAGTTGCTTCCCTGCAGCTTGTGTGTGAATGTACTTGTTATGTTTGTTCAATAAAGTACTGTAACTGAATGTGCACCAAAAGCTGTGTCTGTCATGAAAGTGGACGAGTAAGTTCACGATTGTTAATATAAAACGTACACCCAAAAAAATGACAAGTCCTCAATGATGAAGAGAGGTCGCATAGCATTTGTGCCCTATAGTTCTGAATTTAACATTTGGAAAACATTGGCAAAGTTCCAGCTTATATGACTTTAGAATGGTTCGACTTTAGACGGTCCACTGCCCCCCACCACCCTGAAAAAAAAAGAACACTACTGTATATGCAAACTTGTGCATAATGTGTAGATCCAAACATTGAGAGATGATATCACGAGACTCTTGTTAAATGTGGAATGATCCGAAGGTTTTGCGAAGCTACTACTTCTAACACTTAGGTTGACGTGAATAAGAAGAGAGACAAGTTTATTGTTCCTCAGGGCGGGGCTTCGGCTAGTCTCCAGTTGTGCCAGTGTGCTGTGATTATTAATGCTCACATCTGGAATGATTTTGCCAAGGAATCCTATAAAGAACCTAATAGGCTCTGCTCCTCTAAAACATTTTGGCGACTGATTAACAGATCTTGTTCACATCAACGAGCACCATCTGTGATTTATTACCTTTTTACTTGTTCTCTTTCAATGTAATGGAGAATGAAGAGGGGTGAAGATTTTGTACGCAGGCCTGTAGAGGAAGGGAGGACAATCATGATGTGTTCCTCAGAAAATCGAATGTAATTTATAAGTTGGCATTGCGTTCACTTGCAATCCTGAGGACGGGACAATTAGCAGTTACAACTGAGCATACGATGCATCAAGGTGAATGGAGCATGAGCTAGCATATCCTGCCTTCTGGGGTCTAGCTGGGGTGACCCTTTAATTTATGAGTAGGGTTAAAATCATGAACTACTGGAGATTTGCTACAAATTAGCGTTCCTAATGCCATAATGTCACCACTTGACACTTTAGTTTAGGAACGTGGACATGCATTGACAGTCGAGTCCTGCACAAAAACAGAATTTTGGGGAAAACGTGAACTACTTTTTACTACCGAGGCGGTAAAATGGTTTTCTCTCAAATAAACATGACAGGTTTTACTTGACTTTTAGCTGCGATGAATGTCAGGTGAAGATTTCTTACCGTGTAAAAAAAGAGTTGAAGACGAGCACTTCGGTATCAATTGCTAGTTACCCTTTTTTACCACGAGATGTCACCAAACTTCAAGTAAATCTGACGCTACATTTATGTTCATTTAGAATGTCAGAAAATTAAGGTATTTGTTCGGTAAACATGTTCGGTTTCAGCACTAAATTACTCAATTTTAAGGGTGAAAAGTATGAAGGATGTGAGAAAGGTCAAACTAAATTATTAAAGGGTGAAGAATGTAAAGAAAGGTAAAATGTGTTTTAATTCGTCAAACATCTTGTTCTATGACAGGAGAATAAAGTCCTCAAAAAACAATTGATCCCTTCGAATGTAAAGATGTAAGTCAAGAAACTGGTGATGAAAATTCGATTGGAACGGCGAATACACGGAAGTGACGCGTAATACGGGAAGTAAACAGGAAGCGGGGTATGCTCTTGTCGACTGCTTCATATATCGCTATTTCCAAAACAGACTACTTGCCACCGTTTTTTCTTCCGTCATCTAGTTCTCCGTTAATATGCAGCTGTAAACACGACGGCCAAGAGAGGTAATGTTAATGTTCCAGTTTAAAAAAATGTATGAGCATCACGACGTTATTTTGCGGACTACATTTATTCCGAATTCCGAACAGATTTTATTTCCATCTTTAAATCCGTTTTCTGCAACATCACAGTTGTTATACTGCACATTTTTACTCGTGAAGATTGAATGGCGCGTAATGCTACAGAATGCAAGGCTATTAATAATAGCCTGTTATACAAATCGCCCCATTGCCTCTTTGTTCCATGTTTACGTGTGGAAAAGAATGCCATCATTTGTATTCATGTACGTGTACGTGATCGATCATTCATCTGAAGCTCTGTATATATTTAATAATCACATTGCACTATTGTACAACTGCACTCTGCATACATTTACATTGCACAGTAAGCTCTACCCCTGCCCCAGAGCCTTCTCTGAGTGCTTCATGCACTGAAATGATTCTTCAGGAATCCTCGGTATCGCCATTTGTTACGGCTATCTTGATGGTCATTCACATCTTCAAAACAGGTCCGCTTAATGATGCTCTTGAGTGTAGAAATGAGGAAAAAAAGCTAGGTCCGGGGGAGTAGGGAGATTATTGCTCCAGCATGTCAACGTTTTCCTCAACCAGGAGCTGTCAGATGCTCAAGGCATTGTGAGCGGGCACGTTGTCATCGTGAAGCAGCCGCAGGTAGTCCTGCCACAATTTCTGCCTCATCTCGAAATAATGGAAGGAAATGTGTCAGCATCTCTTTAGAGATGTGCTGGTTGATCATCTGGCCAACACCGAAAGGGAAAATTATTAGTTTTCATTTTGGTTTTGAAAAATATCCTTTGTGAGACTAGTCTGGGAACCTATCTGACACACCTTGTATATTTATATATGCCTTGCATTCAGTAGTATTACTTAATCACTGCTCAAGAACTCCTCTTTAGTCGTGATCCGCATTGACTTATACTTATGATGCGCTCCAACAATGAAGCCGAATATAATCGTGATCTCAATTCAATTTCAGTTTGTGAAATGCTGGCGTAAAACCAGTAAAAATGCACAGCCGCTTACAGGAGTTGAAAAAGGAAGAGGAGACTCTCCTCAAAATCAAAGTCATGCTACAAGACCAGCTGAACAGGTTAAAGGTGAGTGTGGGAGATTTCAACCGTTTTTGTGCTTCCAGTGGTTTACATGATACATTTCTGGATGTTTAATCTGCGTTTTAGTTTGAAGAAGGTGCTTTGAAATCAATCATAAGAGCTCAAACTGAGGAAGCAGCACCTGAATGCCCATCTCCAGAAATTGAGGTAGCATACCAGCACCTCTCCGATTCACCAGATAGAGTGCAAACTCTAATGAGACGATTCCAAGATATTGTCTTTACGTACAATGATCATCAACCCTCTGTTCTGATGCCTTCAGGACATCAACCTCGACGATGAAAACAAGATAAACTGCACCAAGCTTCTGCTGAACACCGCTGCTGATTATGATATGGAGGAGGAAGAGGAAGAAGATGAGGACGAAGAAGAAGAAGAAGAGGAGGAGAATGAAGAGGAGAACGAAGACGACGACAATGAGTTTGGGTTTGTGCCCGACGGGAATGATGATGAAGAAGATGACGATGATTACTGAGCTGCTTAACTTCCTTGATGCGTAACGTGACCTCAGTGTTTAAACAATCCAACAACACGTTATATAGATGTGTTTATTTGTCCGCAGATGTAATATTTTCATTTAATTTATTGTCGCGGAGTTTGGGGGTTGTTGGATTCAAATGTGGTGCTCATATCGTATTCTTCCCACTGATGAAAGGCATTAGGGTGTCAGTAAGTTTTATGATCTGTGTTTCAAGTGTAGATAGAAACGTCACACCAAAATAGCCTTTGATGTTTAGATGCTTCTTCCCCATCAGTCAGACTATAGGGTGCCACTGTTTAGCTGAAAACCACAAATCAAATGTTGAAACGTGCCTGTTAGCATTAATAGGTATGGCTGGGCCATAGAAAAATAGCATAAGCACAAAATAAACGTTTTGGTATGTGTTTTTTTTTTTTATGTTCTAGAAGACAATTTTTATTTACATTTGTTACTGACTTGACTTTGGTGAGAATTATGAGCGTAAATGATTTTCTTATTAAAATAATGTGTCAAAACCATTCCTGTTCGATTTGTCGATGTGAATCCAGTACAGCCGATAGCAATGTTTTAATTCTTGCTGTACTCTAGGTCAATGGGTTATGCAGTGTAAACACTTTCTGCCAACAAACCATTCAGCATTTTCTAACAGCTCCAACAATGCAGCGGGCCTCACAATAGGACCAGCTTTGAAACTCATAGCAGGGCCAGCTCTGCACACGTGTGCACTACGACAGGAGGTGGACCAAAATAGGGGAGCTCTCCTCTATACGTCTGTACACGGCTTTACAACTTGGTGGGCCGCAGTCCCAGGAAGCAGGAAAGAAAAAAACATTTGCACTGGGACTGGACTGACCGGACACCTCCTACAGATGACCTCTTCTTAAACGACAGGTAATTGGATTGGGGATTGTTCCATTTAAAGGCGTCGTTTGAAGAAGCATATTTGGAAGCTTTTTTTGAGATGGATGTCATGCTCCTCAGTCTAAGGTATAATTAAGTGTATTTTAAAAGCTGTTTAAATATTTTTTAAAAGTTTTTAATATTGACAATGTAAATATATCACCGATATTTTTTTTTAATGTGTAGCAAGGAAATTCAGTCTTAAAATGTTGAATTTCAGCGGTTTTTGAATTTCCGTGAAATTGTTTAACATCGCCTATCTTGAAGTGTGGATCAAATTGATGCTGGAAGACAATAATAATAATGGGTGCATATTAACAGTTGCACAAACGTTTTGTCCCTTAATGTTACGATAAAATAATCCAGAGTATTGCGGTGCGTTTGTGTTAGGATATATCTGCAAGGCATGTTCTAAAATGTTTATGTATACATTTTCTTGACCAAAAAATGTGGACATTAATCTGCACTTGCATCAAATTCTATAAAATACATTTAAACATTTTTATATCTGTGGGGTGGTGATAGGACCTGAATGTCACGTTTATGTGCAAAATGTTTTTGCTTACAGATGTGAAATCAAAGTTGAGTTGTGTCAGCCTCAGCAAGATTAGTTCACAGCCCATCGAATTTGAATGGGGGGAGGGGGGATGTAGTGGAGTGTTTGGGATGAGGGACCCCTCAGGCGCCATCACATGCCTTTATGCCAGACATGGGCAACTGGCGGCCCGCGGTCCTTGATAAATTATAATTTTTTTTTTTTTAAAGAATTATTTGTTAATATTTGCAAACCCAAAAGATTATTTCAAACACTGATAAACATGTTTTCCACATGAAATAGGGAAAATAGCCTTGGAAAAAAAAGAAAAAAATTCTAGGATAAAAGAAAGCAAAAACAAAATCGCAAATACGCAAATCCACCGGTGCTGAATTTTAAATATGCAAGGGTCAACTGGAGTTATTAGTTGTAATATCAGCAATTATCACTAGATGGCAGACATGACTTAGTGGCACTTACACAGTGTCTTATACTGCCCTATAGTACGTGAGTAGGCCGAATGTTTTTTTCACGGATTTTGAATAATATTTAGGGTAAACATGGTACCTTGATATCAGATTTTGAGTGCAAAAAAAATCCAAAATGAATTCTTGTGTTTCACGATTATTGTTCAGCAGTTTTGTGTCGTGCTTGAATGATAAGTTTTAGGCAAGAGAGCCCATTTGCACTGAAGGGTGGTGGGGGGGGGGGGTTATTTTGTTGTTTGCTTCAAACCCTTTGTCATTGCGTTAGGATAAGGGAACTTTTATATATGCACTGAAGAATGTATTATCCCAAATGGAATATGTTAAGTCATGTATTTTACACATATGCATGTATTTTGTCCATCTAAGTAGCATTTTAACCACTTCATTTGATTGTCTTCTTTGTCTAAATATGTGACTTGTCGAAAATGTCTAAATCAAACTTTGCAATCCAGTACATCTAAATTGTGAATTATGTGGACAGAAGTAGAGGAGATCCAGACCCCAAGTGCGCCGCAGGCTGAAGAATACCATGTGGTCTGGCTGTGCCCTCGGTGTGTGCCATGTGCTTGTGTTGGTGCTGTGTGTGTCTGCGACTGAGGACTTCGACTGGACAAAGAACGACCACGGCTCCTTCTATTATGGCACTTTTCCAGCTGGTATGATCATCCCGACCTACCGATGTTATTTCCACAATTCGCAAAGACGATACAGAAAGCCGCTTATTGCCATTTCCAGCGAAACTACAAATCCTTAACCATTTCCAGCAGCCCTTAGTGTCCTTATTGGCGAATGATCGCTACCGATTTGTCTGTCAGGATTTTCGTGGGGTGCCGGCAGTTCAGCCTATCAAACAGAGGGAGCCTGGGATAAGGATGGAAAAGGCCTGAGCATCTGGGACGTGTTCAGTCACAAAAGGGGCAAAATTCAACAAAATGACACGGGGGATTCCTCTTGTGAGGGTTACTATAAAGTCAAGGTAGGAGGAGGATCCGAAGGTGATGACCAGCCACGTTTCACACAACAAAGAGTCCATTGCTTTTTACAGGATGACGTGTCACTGATGAGGGAGCTCAAACTGAACCACTATCGCTTTTCCATCTCTTGGCCTCGACTCATTCCCACGGGCATTAAGTGTGAGCAACTTCAATGAATGACACATACACTCTTTCTTTTGGATTTCCTCATTTACTCCCTTTGCTTTAATCGCTAATGTAGAGGGGAAACCGGTGGCTGAAATTTCCCCTTCTCTTCATCACAACACACACACACACACACACACACACACCCGCAAGTGTACTTTATAAGTGGTCGCGTGATGAATGTATTTTTCTACATTCAATTCACAGCTGATCATATCAACGAAAAAGGAATTCAGTACTACAACGATCTGATTGATCACCTGCTGGGCAGCAAGATCACTCCCATTGTAACTTTGTATCATTGGGATCTCCCGCAGGTTGGTGCGCAGAGAATAAAAGCCGAGCACCCCGCCAACCCCCCTCTCCATAATACATGGTCTTTATTGAGGCCCTTCATTCTGTTTTTTTCGAGGTCTTGCAAGAGCGATATGGTGGATGGCAGAATATAAGCATGGTCAACCATTTCAATGACTTCGCCAACCTGTGCTTCGAAAGATTCGGCAACCGAGTCAAGTATTGGATTACATTCAGCAATCCATGGGTATGCTTGCATCGCATCCAGTTGGATTTGACATTTTTGCTGTATATAAGGTCTGACATGTTCATCAATATATAGTCTGTAGCGGTGGAAGGCTATGAAACAGGTGAGCATGCCCCAGGACTGAGGACGAGAGGGACTGGAGCATACCGGGCTGCCCATCACATTATTAAGGTAGGACCAGCGGTGGGTGAAACGGTCCCATTACTGATATAGTTCCATTGGTCAGGACCACTGATCGTGAAGCCCCATGGGCCAGGGGTGTCCAACGCCGGTCCTCGAGGGCCACAACCTGTTTTTTAGACGTTTCCCTCTTCCAACCTAACCTGATTCAAATGATCAGCTCATCAGCGAGCTCTGCAGAAGCCTGATGACAATCCTGATTATTTGAATCGGGGCCACCAGGGAAGGCCTTACTGAGAAGTTACAACATATTATCTCAAATGTGATTCCCCCCACCCACAGGCTCATGCCAAAGTTTGGCACACGTACGATACGCAGTGGAGGTCGAAACAAAATGGTAGGCGATCACTCAACTGAGCACACTGCATATATTTCTCTGAGTCCGTTTTTTTCTTTCTAAGCGTTGCCTCCTGCATCTGCAGGTCTTGTGGGCATCTCCCTGACAGCAGACTGGGGAGAGCCCGTAGACATAAGCAACCAGAAGGACATCGAAGCAGCCGAGAGATACGTGCAGTTCTCCCTCGGCTGGTTTGCAACGCCCGTCTTTCACGGAGACTACCCTCAAGTGATGAAAGACTTCATTGGCAAGTTGACATCACAGTTTAGTGCCAAATAGAACTGCAAGTTCTTCGGAAACAATCAGTGAATGCTTTGATTAGTGTAGCAGAGATAAAGGAAGAACTGAACGAAAGGTTTTATTGCAAGAGAGGGCAGCACAGTGGCCCACAGAAGGAAGACTTTGAGTTTTAATCTTAGGCTAGGCCTTTCTTTTAACTAGCTTGCATCCTCATCCACAGTTCCCTCCAAATGCATTGGAACAGAAAAGTTGAGTCCCTTGTTTTTGTTGTACATTGAAGACATTTGGGTTTCAGATCAAAAGATGAATATGAGACAAAAGTTCAGAATTGCAGCTTTTATTTGCATCTGATGTTTTTTCACAACTCAGGGCAGAAAACCTTTTGTTTGAACTTCATTTCATTCAAAATGCTTTTCCAGGCCTTTACTGCGGCCTCTTTCAGTTCTTTTTTTTTTATGAGGGTTTCTGCACAGGTAGGAAGAGTGTCCAGCAGGGTCTCGGGGCATCTCGCCTGCCCACATTCACTCCCCAGGAGAAGAGCTACGTCAAGGGTACTTGTGACTTCCTGGGCATCAGTCACTTCACTACACGCTACATCACCCAGAAGAATAATCCACCGGGCCGCAGCACCAGCAGCTTCTTCATGGATCGCGACTTGGCCGAGCTGGTTGACCCCCAGTGGCCTGACCCTGGTTCGGAGTGGCTCTACTCTGTGCCGTGGGGGTTCCGACGCATGCTCAATTTTGTTAAGGTGACTACTGATGCAACTTTCAGCTGAGAAAGGAATCCTGATTGAATTTCTTTTTCTTTTTTTTTTTTTTAGACTCAATATGGAAACCCAATGATTTATGTGACTGAGAATGGAGTATCCGAGAAGATGCAATGCACAGAGCTGTGTGATGTCTGGAGGATACAGTACTTTAAAGACTACATCAACGAGATGCTAAAAGGTGAACACGCTAAAGCTCCTGCACATACGTCTTTTTTTTTTTTTTTTGTCTTTTGCCTATGAGAAGGAACTGAATTTTATTCTCATCCCGCTCTCAGCGCTCAGAGATGGCGTGAATGTCAAAGGTTACACCGCCTGGTCCCTGCTGGACAAGTTTGAGTGGGATGAAGGCTTCAGTGAGAGATTTGGATTGTATTACGTGGACTTCAGGAACAAGCACAAGCCTCGCTATCCTAAAGCTTCCGTTCAGTTTTACAAGCGCATCATCAGCTCCAATGGATTTCCCAATCAGAGAGAGGTAGGAGGCACTCGCTAGGATTAAATAAAAGAGTCTAATCTACTAATTATTACGCTGTATATGCGGATCTCAGCATAATGTATTTAAAAAAAAAAATCGGAATAAAAAGAATGCACCTGAATAAATAATACTGCTCACCAGTGTAAACATTATATTTGGACTGTGAACCTCTCTACAGGTTGAGAACTGGAGGAGGAAAGCGATGGAGACCTGCTCATCAAGTAACCAACTCCTGGCTGCAGGTCAGTCTGCCATGTTAAAAAAAACAAAAACAAAAAACAAAAAAACACCACTGCTCAACTAGCTGGGGTAAACAAATAAAGATTCTGACCTCAAATGTCCAACTTCAGAGGAAAACCGTAAATTAGAAAAGACAATCTGACTTTATCGATGCGACACTGCCTCACACATGAATGAATCCAACTAGATTGGCACTCAGCAGAGTGTAAACCTGACAAACGAATTACCTTGGCAGAGGTAAAGTAAATTCAGGAAGCGGAAATACTAAAACTAGCAAAGGAAATCTGAGATATCTTTTTTGTTTGCCCCTCCCTCAGCTAGAAGAAAGGCAACGGATCATGCCGAAAAGCCAAGGGTTTGGCCTGTGCATGATGAAGTTTAGAACTTGCTTGAGGGTACAAGTCTTCACTTCAAGTGTGCCGTTTTTGTGATCTCGCGCTTCACCATTTCACTAACAATTAACTTGCATGAAGTGTGCCGCTTGACCGCGATTAAACATTTGCCCACGTTTCCGGCTACGAGTGACAAAACAAGATGATGGCTATCGAATAGCAGGATGAAATTTTGGAAGTGGCCTGGCGGTGGTGCAAAACTGCTTGTTGCGAGAGTTCCTACTAGATGCATGCAGTACTCAAAGGGTTATCGATGATTGTTCATCATCTCTGAGTTATTTCTCTTTTTTTAATAGAGGATCAGCGGAGTACTGCTGCCAATATTCTAAGACTTATACATGGTAAGACACCACCTGTGCTCAAAAGGGATAAACTATGGACGATAAATAAGAAGAAACATGTTTGAAAAACTCAAAACCCTTTGAGTGCTGCGACATGCCTTTGTTTTTTTGGCAGCGTCTAATGCTTTTAAGTTTCTAAATAGTGTGTGTTTTTTACAGACCCGCTGACCAGCCACATGGAGATGGTAACTGAGATTGTTGTCCCGACTGTCTGCACGCTCTCCATTTTACTCAGTGCCATCTTCCTCATGTTCCTGCTCCAGAGGCGCAACTAAATGGTGCACACAGTCACAACCCCGCAATACACAACCACTCGCACAAGAAGTGAATCAGATATTTAATGGATTGTGTGTTCACATAAATACATTCTTTTTGGTTGAATTTCAATTTGATGTGGAAAAAGTGTTCGCCATAACAAAGAAAGCTGAACATTTTTTGAATCTTGCCCATTAAAACATTGCTGTGAAATATCGCGCCCACCCCACTGTCTTGTTTTTGCTTCAAGGTTGTGGAAGTTGCCAGGGGACAAAATTCTTCCTGTGAGGTTTGTGGCGCTAAGTTACCTGACAAAAAATGAGAATGAAAAGAAGCGCCTCTTCTATTGCCTTGTTGCGTAAATTCAGGCAAAATTGACAAGGCTGCAGCACACCAAGGTGGAGAAGCAGACAGACTCTGTGCTATCGTCGCTCACTGTTTCATTTGCTGTTTTGAAACGCGAAGGATGAAAAAAAAATGAATCACATGTTATGTACGTGGCTGGAATTTTCAGTTGGATGTGTTGGAGTGGACGAAACGTAAATTCAGGCAAAATTGACAAGGCTGCAACACACCAAGGTGGAGAAGCAGACAGACTCTGTGCTTTCGTCGCCCACTGTTTCATTTGCTGTTTTGAAACGCGAAGGATGAAGAAAAAAAAAAATCACATGTTGTGTACATGGCTGGAATTTTCAGTTGGATGTGTTGGAGTGGACGAAACTCACCGGTTTCAAAGATGACGTGATCAACCAGTGGTCTGTCGCTGACCTGTAAGGATGTCTTGACCATGTGAGGCCCTTGCCCACTGGACACTTCCACTCCCCACACAAGTGGATGCTCACTGTAGTAATTGTGAACAAAATAGAAACACTGACACGGTCTCCATGTCGTGAGGAACAACCCGTGTGGTGTCAGAGGTCATTGGGTGTGCCGCAAAAGCCGACATTCAAGAAAAATAATGTCGCTTTGTTCATCCATCAATGGCTGCTATGTAAAGTGACAGTCAGAACAATTACATGCTCTTCCACTAGATGGCAGAATGTACAATTGACTTTTGTGCCTAAATTAAGATGGAATCAGCAGACATTTTTGTTTAGCGGTGTGGCATAAGATTTTTTTGAAATGCAAGCAAAGTATGTGTCTTCACTCAATAAGAGTTGATAAACACTGTTCAAAGCACACCAACTGTGCACAAATAAATGAATCCAATCACCCCGACCAAAGCTGCACGATAAGAAAATAGATGACATTTTAAATCAATTCATTTAATTCAGTGCACTCATCAGTTGCTGCAAGGGATTCCCGCCTAACTAATAATGCAGTTGCGGTGGAAGGTTACTTTTCCTACTTGCAAGCATATTTGAACCAACACTACACGAATGACAACGAAACCAAAGGTAAGGCATAGCTTTTCAAGCCATGGATAGCGCATTTAAAGTGAAAGAGTTTGGAAACAACGGAGCAGCTTTTGTGCGGGCGGCCGTCTTCCTTACCTCTGGTAGAAATGAGTGATCAACGCCGGTTTGATTTGCAGTTGGAACTCATGTGTCTCATCATAGGGGGAAGTTTTGTAGTGCTGCAAACACAACCTACGAGAATGGAGAAGAGCACAGAGTAAAATTTTAGCAATGGGTTAAAACATTTTTAAAAAAGCAATGAGCAAACGTGACCTACTGTGTAAGGAGGAAGAGTCTGTCATAGGGCAAATCTAAGAATGTTCTGCAGGTCACAACTACTTCCAGGAGATGGTGCAGTTTCCTCAGTCGGATAACCTGCTCCTGCAGATCCACCTCTGTGTTCAGGTAATAACTCTGCGTGGAGTCAAACATACTCAATATCTGCTTTACAGCCGATGGCAAAAATGTCTCCAAGCTTACCAAGTTGTTTGGAGTTGTCAATTCTTCCCCTGAGGAAAAGAGATGAAATATCGTAAAAAGGCAATGCATTTGCTATACAGGTTGCGCACTCCATTTTGTATGACATGTATGTATCAATGACAAATAGGACAATCCCTTGGGTACAAAATACTGATTCGCAGTGTTGTTTCGAGTGTACCAATGAGGTAGTTGAAGTAATCTTTCCTCATCTTGTCAAGGCCCATTTCTAACAACATTTGGATAGGTGTGAGGTCTGTAAGCGACACGTGCTCGATCTTCTGGTGGTAAGGCTGCAGGATGAGCTTGCAGAGAGAGCTGCTATTGTCTCTGTGAATCTGGTGGCAACACAAATAATATAAATTACATGGCAGTCAATGACGCAGCCTGTCATTTCTCTTTGTCAAGCAGTTGAGAGAAGCCTTACCCACGGCTTGATGTAGCCGTAAGTCAGGGCCTCGATGACCAATTTCAGGCTGTCTTTAACGTCTTGATAGCATACAACACCTGGAACATGATTTTTTTTTTTTTTTTTTAACCGCTGCTTGAGTTGTGTTACAACCACATGAATTCGGGTTTATCTAATGACGGAACTGACTCACTCTTTCTCAGGCGAACCCACAGCTGCTCCACAAAATCCAAATCACCTCGCACCAGGAAAGAGTGAAAAAGCGGAGGGTCGGTTTCAGGGTCTGTCTTTAGAAACAAACAAAAGAATATAAATAGGTGGGATGGGGTGTCAGCCACACTCAGTGAAAAGGTCAAGTGTTAACCAACTACCCGTCAACTACACAATGCTGTTTACATAATGTACAGTGAACAGTTCAAAGATCTTTTATAAAATCAGGTATATTGAGAAATTAATATGGTATTTCTTTTTAAATCGGGCATATTTTATATTCATTCTGCGACAACACCACTTGATGTCGTGGTTCATACATTGTGGACATTACATCAGCGTTTCCCAACCGTTATTGAGCCAAGGCACATATTTCACATGAGAAAAAGCGACTCGAAGAAAATGCATACACAAGTCAATTATTGTACCTTCTAATATCTAATGGGGGAGCATTTAATTGTTCTGCTTGTCACTTTATATATCTGGCATTATTTGTATTCAATAAAATATTTGGGGAGCAATTACCGGTAAATGCAATACAGGTGTATTGTGGCATAAAATATAATTTTGTAAATACATTTTCACTAACTGATGAAAAGCAAGTATATACCTTTTTTCCTTAAATTCAAAAATATTTTTTATTGACACACCAAAGGTGAAAAATAGATATTTTCTGAAAATATGTTTCTGTTTTACTGTACCTGTGGTGGTTTTGAACCCTGCTCCTGTTGTGACATGGTGAGTCTCTGTAGCTCTTAAAGAAAAAAAAAAAAGTATTATTACAGGTAAACCCGCAAAACTTGAAAAAAGAAATAAATACCTTCAAGGTACTCCGTGGTCAGATCCACTGCTGACTTGCTTTCCAAAGGATCCAACCACTCCACCTCACCAGTTCTTAAACCATCAGCAAGAACCTGAGCGAACAAAGAACAGTTAAAAAATGCCGTATTTTTTTTTAAATCATTGAAATTTGGCAGGATTGCTAAAAACATTCCTTTCTGGTGTGTCAAATGTATCCATGCACCCACATTCACCGTAGCACTTACTTGTCGCAGCTACCAAACATTTATTTTTTGCTTTTCAAGGTTTTTATAACACAGCACACAAGAAATCTCTATTCTCACCTTACTGGAGGAATTCACATACCTGAAGAAACTGCAGCTCCCTGAACATCTCAAACATGGGGCTCCTCATGTCTCCAGTGGCAACTTTAATATTCTGCAACATTTTAAATGGTTTGTTACGGTGTACGTTACAGTTTGAGAAAAGACATGAGAGTGTAAATTCAGCTTACTAGTGTAGCTGTGGAGGACAGCGGGGGTGTCTCGAGGACATTCTCAACGTGGCTCCACTTAAAATCCACTGTCACGCTGCTTTGTGATTCAATTTTTGAGTTTTCAACCACAATGGAGCCAAACATGTTGAACCGTGCGCTTCCCTTAATTGCCATCTAGAGGCAGTCACAAAAGGAGTCATATCTTGTAACAGCAAACTCAAAGTAGAATAGTACGACGTTGGTTTACCGTGGATGGGTGGTGCCTTTTCTTGTGCTCTTGTTTCAACTCGTCTAAAGTTAGGAGTGCACTTTTGTTCACAGGGCCTAACAGTTATGTTGGAATACATGTTTTGAAAAAGTCACACAGAGGTTCATTTTGTTTCAAGATGCATTAAGCATTCCGTGCTTGTACAATACCTTTGCATGTAACAGAGTATAATTTAACACCAGACATTTTACTGGCCACACAGACACCTTCAGCTCCAAACCAGGTTGTACGAGCTGGATCCGACATGTCACATCGTACCCACAGAGGTCGTAGGGCAGGATCATCCACAGCATGAACGTTGACATTTTGAGATAACGTGTACCAGGACAGCATCTGCCTTTAAAATTTAAAAAAAAAAAAAAAAAAACAGAAGAAAAAAAATATTTCTGCTTCATTACGCCTGATCAGGAGTTACTAATATGATGACTACAGGCACCTGGTCGCCCCCACGGATCACATGAGTAGCCTGTGAACCTGTTCTAAAAATAGCTCACTTGTGGTGGATAATGTTATTTCCTAAGAATGTTGAAGAAGAGATTATTTGAAAATGCCAACAGACTGGAAGCACCTTGCTTTTGTGATGGTGAGAGGCTGTGGTGTCAGTTCTGTTTGAAGGGCGGTTAACAAATTGTCGTCTGTGCAGATTGATGTCTCAAGCGTCGACTCATCATCAGAATCTTTTAATTTAGGAAGCTATGAGCAAACAGAAATAAAGTTCATCAATAAAAAAAGATAAGTTACGGGCAGTCAACAAAAATTTTCTTAAAATTAAAAAGTTCTCACGGCTTTTTCACAAATGAAGACTTCCTGGTCCTCGTAGTCCAATAAATTCAGAGCGGCAATTCTATCTCCATCCTTCTTCAATATTTGGATCTCATCCTGAAAGCAAGAGGTACTCACGACTAAATAAGAAAACTATTCGAAAACGTACGATCGTCAGGAAACGCAATTACCTCATAAGTGTAACAATGATTGTTTTCATCTTCTTGAAGATTCCTGTACCGAAAAAAACCACGAACAATTCAATATTTAGTGCACTTCACAGCTAACGGCTACCAAAACAAGGCTTTTTGATTTAAACGATCTCACAGCGAATAAAATGCGACGAGACGTCTAGCTTACCTGAGTGTATTAAAAAACTCTTTCACACTTGATAAAACCTTGGAGGCCATAAGTGAAAAAGAAACGCTTTTTGTTGCTATTCCAACCTGGTTGTTGCTGTTTCGATTTTGACTGTCGCGCGCTCTGCTAAAATGACGTCACAGGGTCAGAGTTCAAACAAATAATAATCCTTTCAAATTCATTATGAGGTAAAGAAATGAATTATGGAGAAATACATTCAAAAATCTGCTTTGCGTTCATTGTGGAAATTAAACGATGACAAAAAATAATCATGTAATATTCAGAAAGTACTTCCGTTTTTACGTCCACTTTCGACAACATGGCGTAAAGAAATAGTCCCCACGAATGGTATGAACGTAAATGTACACATTTGTATCTAAAATGTACAATCGTAATTTAATTGCTTGAATAGTAATTGAATATGTTTTTTTTTTAATTTTATCGTTGTTATAGGCCCTTTGTTAATATTTGGCTTTTGGCGGATGCAGTGGTCCTTTCGGCGGCAGCATAAACGTTTGAGGGTGAGTTACTCACTTCCTTTTTTCTGTGGCCGCCATCGCGAGTGGAGTGTGGTTCCCGGCGAGCCGAAACTTAAACAACGATTATGGTGAGGAAACGTCTGTAAAGCTTTTTGTGCAGCATAGCTGTTGCGTTATTGTAGATATTATATCTTTAGGTTGCAAGGTACGAAGGTTATTTTCAATTGTAATTCAAGTATACAGTTGCATTATTTTCGGACATAGCAAGTAGCACGAGGAGCCATTTTGGACGCTAGTCTCCTTGTGACACGTGTGTCTGCTTTTCTCGTAACTCTTGTATGGAAACTAAATCACTCGCATTCACTATAAATGTCAGACTAGCCACCTCAGGCTCATTTTTTTGTGTGCATACGTTTGGGGATTTTGTTTTGTCTTACGACAATTTCTGAAAGTAAATGCAGCGCAATTTACGGGCCTACGTAGTTAAGCTAACTACTATGAGCTAACAGGCCCGGTTCGGCGTGTTTGCCAGATAAATGTCGGTCCTAATATACCAATTCCGTGATATAAGTAAAATTCAACAATACTGCTATTAGGAAGACTAGAATACAATTTGAACTAGTCTAATCACGTTGACTGAAATCTGTTTGATACTAATTAATCTGCACAATCACATGGCATTGTTGCTATTTAATGGCTGCTAAAGATTCATAATGATTTTTCTTATTAGGCCTGTGCCCGACCCCTAATCTCGGTTTACTCCGAGAAAGGAGACTCCTCGGGCAAGAATGTTGTCCTGCCTGCAGTTTTCAGGGCTCCCATTCGCCCTGATGTTGTGAATTTTGTGCATACCAACATGCGCAAGAACAATCGCCAGCCCTATGCAGTCAGTGAACTGGCAGGTAACTGCATCAAACACCTGTCAGTTCCCCATTTAATCCTTTAATGCAGTAATATCAGTTATGCAGTAACTTCTGTCTTTTAGGTCACCAGACTAGTGCTGAGTCCTGGGGTACAGGGAGAGCTGTGGCCCGTATCCCTCGTGTGAGGGGTGGTGGTACTCACCGTTCAGGCCAGGGTGCCTTTGGTAACGTATCCTTTTTCAATTAGACAATGTGCCACCGCTAGGTAATTGTCACACTTGCACTGATGGTGTAATTTGCGTCTGACACTGTGTCCAGTGACAGAATGCCTGCTGTCAAATACTGGCTCAGTTGACTGATGAATATTGTTTCTGAGCATGCAAGTGTACCATTTAAAATAGTGTCAGCTTTTGCGCAGTAATCTTAACTTTTCCACAAGATGTGTCGTGGAGGGCGCATGTTTGCCCCCACCAAGACCTGGCGTCGTTGGCACCGCAAAATCAACACGACCCAGAAGCGCTATGCCATCTGTTCTGCTCTGGCTGCTTCTGCCATCCCCGCACTCATCATGTCCAAGGGTGAGCTGATGCCTCAAATGAATTACACTCCTAACTACCGATTGATCTTATTGGATCAGTTGCCATGATGGTGTAATTTGCGTCTGACCCTGTGAGCAGTGACAGTTGCCTGCTGTTTCAAAGCTGTCACAGGGTGGTGATGTGTGTTTAAATCTGAGCAGGTTCAGACTGAACTCTTTCTCATCATGTTCTGGTGGGCCAAATGTTGACATGATGTTCGTTCTCTACAGGACACCGTATTGAGGAAATCCCAGAGGTTCCTCTGGTGGTTGAGGACAAAGTTGAGGGCTACAAGAAGACCAAGGAGGCAGTGCTACTGCTGAAGAAAATTAAAGCCTGGAATGACATCAAGAAGGTAGTCACAAGTTCCAAGAATGTCATTAAATTGCACAATGGTAATGCGCATTTATCGTTAGGTATAGCAATGTTGACATGTTTAATGTAATCACCAGTTTATGCGGTGCTTTTGACGTTGTAAATCTCCAATATTCAGGTCTACGCCTCGCAACGCATGCGTGCCGGTAAGGGTAAAATGAGGAATCGGCGACGCATTCAACGCAGAGGGCCTTGTATCATCTATAACCAAGATGCTGGTGTCACCAAGGCATTCAGAAATATTCCGGGTAAGTTTTCATATTGTTGGTGGTATGAGTCGTTAATTAGTCAAAAAGTATTTCTGAATACAAAGGCTACCTAATAATATAATATTGTATTATTCATTGAGTGATTTATTTATCAAAAGGTGTAGCATCTATTCACCTGATTACATATTCTCAACTGTCTTAATTTTTTCTGACCAAAAGAATCCCAACATACTTTTTTTTTTAATGTCCCCAAGTGTAGCACATTTTCTTCTAGGGCCAATCAATTTCATGCAGTGTCAGATTAAACTGCAGTGCTTTCAATTTGCAATATCCAGACATCATGTTACAGTATCATGATAATATGGGGAGATTGACTTCATCACGTTCAAACTTCGTGCCCGCGTGAACGCTTAAGGGACCAAACGAGAAAGTCTGAAGGGGCGCGGTCTGGGCTGTAAAGGGGATGAGGGAGCAGTTCTCAGCTCAGCTTGCTGATGGTCTGCACCGTTTGGTCTGCTGTGTGCATCCTTGCGTTGTCATGATGCAAGGTGACGACTCCTGACTGATGACCCCCTGCGTTTGTTCTTGATTGCGCCCACAATCACTGTTTTTTTTTTTTTTTTAAACCCGGTACCGATCAACTGAAAATTGTGATGGCCTTTGATTTGTGATTGATTGTATGAAGTTGCACTTGTTTTGCAGGCATCACCCTCCAGAACGTGAACAAGCTGAACCTACTAAGACTTGCCCCCGGTGGACATGTGGGTCGCTTCTGCATCTGGACTGAGAGCGCTTTCCGCCAACTAGATAATTTGTATGGCACCTGGCGTAAACCTTCGACCCTGAAGAGAAACTACAAGTGAGTTTATGGTGGAACAGCATAGTTGCTTTACTTACTGTGATGAGCTTTCCCACTTCATGGTCCGTGTTTTTGACAGCTGTGATATGAATGAAGTTCTGAGTCTGTTGAAGACCTCAACATTGATTACATTTCATGTTGTAAATTAAACAAATTAAGCACTCGTCCTTCCTTTTCAGCTTGCCAATGCATAAGATGACCAACACAGACCTGAGCAGGATTCTGAAGAGTGAGGAGATCCAGAAAGCACTTCGTGCACCCAAGTAAGTGAACGTTTGCTTCAAAAAAAATTGGAGGGGATGGGGCACGACTATGATACTTCTACTTTAGGTCCATGTTTCTGAATCTTAAAGTGTGAAGTCCTGAGCGATACACTGAACCAAGAACTGTAAATGCATTGACGCGTGTCATCGAGAGTTTGCCTTTTCCTTGCAGGAAGAAGATCATCCGCAGAGTCCTGAAGAAGAATCCTCTGAAGAACTTGAGGATCATGTTCAAACTGAACCCCTATGCCAAGACAGCCAGACGTCATGCCATTCTCAAGCATGACCCTAAAGTAAGAAACTAGCAATCACTCTTGCTGCATGGACCTTTTTATTTTTATCTGACTGCATTCCGTTTCCAACAGATCAAGGCTAAGATGCTGAAGCCCAAGAAGAAGCCTGGGAAGAAGGGAGCACCCAAAAAAGTCAAGGCTTAAATTTATTCCTGACTGGAGTTCACTGAACAATAAATAAGTTTGGTTTGAATCAAAAGACTCAGGCCTGTGTTTAACATTTTATACTAGTGCTAAATACAGTAGAAAGCAATGTATTTTGTGGGCAGAGAACTCAGGGTGGGAATGCACTACAAAACTAATTGTACAATTAATCATGGTTTGATTTTGTGCAACTGTCAGCACTTTTCAAACATGGTTTACGCTACTTTTTGTTTTGCACCACTGCTTTCTTTTTTCTGATCTTGGAAGCAAGCGGTTTAGATCAAGGTAAAAACAGGTAATAGCAATTGCATGTGAACGTCATCTTTTAGAATGTTTTTCATGTACTCGTTAAATTTTTTTCACGAATCACTGCAGAATGAACGCAACCTTTTGAGAATGTCGGATGCTCCCAACGCATGACTTGGATGCTTCCAAAGGATGATTAGCTGTAAAGCACCCGTTGTAACCTGCTTGCCTCAAGGTCCACGACAAGTGAGTTTCTTGAGTGACCGCTATCAGAAATGTAACGGATTACTGTGGTGAGCTTTCTTACTTCGACATCCGTGTTTGTGACAACTTGGACTGAAGTTCTGAATATTGGCACAATATTGATTTAACATGGTATTGGACAGTGAATGATTTGCTTAATTCCTTCCATTTCAGCCTGCCAATGAGCAAGATGACTAGCACAGACTTGAGATGGATTATCAAGCGTGACGCCCAGAATGAACTTTATGCACCCAAGTAAGCAAATATTTGCAACTTTTTATTGTATTTTTTTTCAAGCTATGATGATACTCCCACTTCTGGTCCGTGTTTCTGAATCCTGATAAATTGGAAGTCCTGAGCAATGCACAGATTATGGACCACAGTATTAATTTGGTAAAGTCTTTAGTGACTAAACATGCATTCCTTTTCAGCCTGCCAATGCGCAATATTATGGCGAGGAGCTCAAGCAAGAAGGACTCAAAACAAACGTACGTATTTGCATTTTTTCCCCCCCTTATTTTATGGTTGCAAAATGATGATACTCCCACTTCTGGTCCGTGTTTCTGAATCCTGATTAGATGGAAGTCCTGAACCATACATGCCATATTTTGCTAGTGCTTAAATTGGGAAGGAGTGTTTCACAAAGTGGTGTGATGCTCTTTCAGCGGCGACTGAAGAACTGGTGGAACCCTGGGAACAAGCACCTGCTAAAAACCAAGGCATCTCAAGCTGGAATTCGAAGAAGGCAAAGGAGACATGTTCACAGTTTAATTCACCAAACTTGTCACGACAACAAATCTGAGCCTTAAGCACGTTTAAAATGGCATTATTCGTTAGAAAAAGATGGCTTTTCAGGCAGGCTTGCAAAGCAGCCAAAAATTTGTTTCACTTTTATAATTTCACTTGGCATGTAGGTTTGAAATGAAAATACGTACCATTTGATTGCACTTTTTCGCCTAACACCTCATACAAATTATAGAGACCCTGTTAGAGTATTTAAAGGGCGCGGGTTTTACGGTATACTAGCTGGTAGCGGTCACATTCCAGAGCCATGGGTGGGCGTCCCAGGCTGCTTGAGGCCAATGGTGGTGCACAACCAGCCGGCAAAATCAACTTGCGCTGCCTCTGACTGTCTGATGAAAGGGTGCACCTGTTGGGAAGAGGAAATGTCACGTGAGCTCAAGCCTGAAGCGTGCGTCATGGCGAGAATGGTAAATGCCTATACACCAACCATTAACTGTTTCAGGTCTGCCCTTTCTGCTGGGTTCTTTATCAAGCTGAAACGGATGTTAAACAGGTGATGAATTAGTTACAAATGTTTGTGGTCCAAGATGAAAACAATTGCAGACATTTCACCTTACCATTTATTGACAAAGTCTTGGAATTCCGAACTGAATAACATCCCAGGCAACTTTGGTGGAGGCTACCCAGAGTGTAAATGAATCCTGTTAGTAAAGTGGTTACCATTTTACGCTCTTAAATTGTGTGAACCCCTACCTCATTGACAATGTAGTCAAGTAACTCAAAGATGGCCATTGGAGGCCGACTGTCCAATCCATACGCTGCAAGAATAAAACAGATGCAGGGTTAACGTCTGCAGCGAAAGGATGGAACATGGTCCTTAGACTCACAGCTGCCAGGTCGCCCAGGAGGCCCAGCATTTGGTGAGGACTCTGCAGAGTTTGAACCGCCCACTTGAGTCCCAAAAATGTGTTCCAGCTCCTTTGTGTCAGGCGGTGGGATAGGGAAACGGCCAATGGCCATTTCAACTAAGGACAGACCCATGCTCCAGATGTCGGACTGGACTGAGTAATGAGTGCCCTGTAAACGCTCCGGCTGTGTAAAAGAACAGAACAGGGAAGTGCGGTCTGCTCACAGTGCAAGAACAAAGATGGCAACTCATGAGCTCTAAGACTTGAATCTCCAATCTCTTGGCTGTGTTCTAATCTGATTGCAAATTAGTTTTCCTTGTTAATGTTGTGGAAGAGCTGCATGTCAACTTACAGACATGTAGGATCGTGTCCCCACAAAGGAGTTGGCCATGGAGTCTATGAGCTGTCCACTCACTCCAAAGTCGCACAACTTTATCTCACCGCGGGAATTCACCAGGATGTTAGATGGCTTGACATCTGACAGAGGGAGAGATGATGTAAGCATGTTGAGGAAAACATCACTGAAAGGTGACAGGCAACATAGTCCAAATATGTGACCAAACAAAAGTTGATGATTAATGCCGAGTTCATCATCCAGTGGTTAAGGTAGGTACTATTGTCTATGTATATACAGTACATCGGGGGGGGCAAGTCATTAAATAGTGAATGACCTCTGTGCATGATCTTGTGTTTCTCCCTCAGGTAGGAAAGCCCTTTAATGACCTGTGAAAATAAAAATGGCATTTAAGGATTGATTTCAATTGCTAATAGCCTTGAAATGTCAACATGCTGTAGAACTTTTGAGTGCCCTGGCCAGGGTGACTCAACAACTCACTCAACACTCCCAGTGCGAACAGGAAAACATACAAGGGGGGGGGCGGCAATGTTTTGCCTAACCTAATTCCCCGAGAAGTTTTTCAGCCAATCAGGGTGATCAGTCGTCACGAACGACACCATTTTGAATACTCCTGATATATGACTTATTCAAAACATTTCTAAGAAGTACAATACGTCTTTTTTTTGTTTGTTTGTTTGTTTGTTTGATTTGTTTTGTTTTTGACACTTCTAAATGTTTCTTTTTAGTTAAATTTGTTGACCGGGGGTGGTAACAATGACTTCTTTCCCATGTTCATTATGTGCCAATGTGTGGAAGTAATCTTGAATAATATATAAAAGTATCAAATGTTACATTACCCCGCCCAAAAAATGCATATTCTGTGTCCAGATCTAAAGTGTCAACACTCATTTGGATAGATGGTAAATCTAAAAGTCGGATGGCAGAGCATCCAAGTGACTGAGTGGAACTAATTATCCGTACCACAAAAATACATTTATCAAAATCTTGACCTAGACTCGGGAGTAACGACCATGCACCTTCCTAAGCGTCCCAGGCCACTATGGTGCCGGTACTTTGATCTGTTGAAGGTTGTTGAAGCTGTAAATGAGCCCTTTTCAATCCCTGGAGGGTTAATTTAGGCTCGCATGAGTGAATCATTCCGGAAGTTGGTGAAATGACAAAATGCGAGGAGGGCGGGCTACATACAGCAATGCTGATTTTGCCAAGGATTTGCTCCGGGATCTTTCCAGCTTTCTTCAGCGACTGATCCAGGGAGCCGCCATCCTAAATCCAGCAAGGAAGGAAGGAAAACGGCTAAAGGATGACTTAAAAACAAAAGGCCAAAAGAAAACCATGAAAACTACCATGTGCTCCATGCAGATGCTGATTTCCCCATCGCTGTAGAAAGCGCCATAGAAGCCCACAATGTAGGGGGAGTTGCATTCATGCAGAACTTGAAGCTCCCTTATAATCTGGTTCCTGATGGCCGGTTTGATTTCCAGGTGGATGAGCTGCAACGCAGGATAACATTGACTACTCATAAAAAAAAAAAAGTTTGGGGTATCGGGATGCAATTTTCAGGAGCACGATAGCCTCATGCAAAGTTATCAGGAATTGGGTCACAGGGCCATTTTCAACTTTTACCTTCCTGGCCATGATCAGACCAGAAGGTCTGTGGGAAACCTTGAAGACGACCCCTCCGTTGCCTGCACCGAGCTCGCATATCTTCTCAAAGTCATCATCCTTCAGCTCTCCCACTTTCTGCTTCTGCGTCAGGAAAGCTTCCAGGCGTTTGCGTTGCTGCTCGTCCAGTTCCAGCTCTTCCAGTTTCTTCTGCAGGGCCTCTAAGTTTGTCCTTGCAGAAAGACACGTGCGTGTTAGAAGAGCTTTCCAAAGCCCACTTCAACATCAGCAGCTGTTTTGTTCTTTGGAAGCATCCGACCCCTTCCAAAGGGACACAGGAAATGTATCTATTAACCTGATGCCAAATGGAAAAGACACACGTTGATTCTGGTGATTGATTTGTCTTTTGGGGAACATGACAGACAACCTGTTGCGAGTCACTGAGTTTTATGTTCACTCGCACATCTCTTCGGTTCAGTTGGGCAGCTTCTGTCGCTCTGCTGTCATGGCAACCAATTACCTTGAGAAGCCCAACTGGATAAAGCAGTAAAGAGCTCTTTAGACAGGCTGCTCTTTGATTTATTATTGCTGAGGAGCTGCACTGCGTTGATCCTCGTAGTATTTTAAATACAGAGTCCTCGTATTGACAGTGTCACACACCTGGCGTTGGATGACAGTGACTGACAGCAAAAAAGTGTTACGCTATTTTATTTCTGATCCATAACCATGGATACTGCATGGCGAGTTTGAGTGAACCGTGGGCGGCGTGGGCGTTTTGTCGACAAGAGCGGAAAAGTGGAGGACGCCAGAAATACTGAAACGCATGCAATGCTCCACGCAATATGTGGGAGAGACCAAGAGGAGTCACGCGCTTGCTTGTGGCGGAGGAGGGAAGCGGGCATGACGCAGGCCTCTTGAACTCCATCCACACAATGACCAAGGAAATCTGCTAGTCGAAATAAAGGGTAGTCTTTAAACCACTGGTGTCCAAGTCAAGGCCCTTCTGGCCCGCCGCATCATTTTATGTGGCCCGCGAAAGCAAATCAAGCATGTCAAGTTGCATGATGCTCGCTAAAGTCTGAACCAAAATTTCAAATTGTCACATGCAATCCACAATAACAGTCATTATTCTTGACTTCTGATTTTAAAACTAGTTATTCGTCAATTTGTTGTGCGCTATATGTTTAATATATAGAGGGGATTAAACATTGATATGGTTTCCCAAAATTCAAAACGGCCCTCCAAGGCAAACCGTAACTACAATGTGGCCCGTGACTAAAATGAGTTGGACACCTCGGCTTTAAACACTTAATTGTTTATAATAAAAAAAAAAAAGGAAAATGAGTTGGACACCCCTGCTTTAAACGCTTAATTAATGTTTGTTAAAAAAAAAAAAAAGCTTAACATCAGAAAACTAAGACCAGTCATTCGCAAAATTCACACGCACATCCACTCATGCCCACCTCAACCTCGAAAAATATCAAAACAAACGCCGCTGTATTTTCTTCTCTTGGATGGTCAGTATAGAGAAAGAGCTTAATGTTGCCTAATGTTTGAAAACTATGGCCAAAACTGGCCAAAATTCATGTGCCCTTATATGCCCACGTCAATCTCGGAAAATGTCAAACCAATTAATTGCCACAGTATTTTGGATGTTATGGGCGTTAAGGGTTTTCCCCCCCATGAGCTGAACATCATTTGGTGTCAGAAAACTGAGATTCATCTTTATAAAAATCCACGTGGACATCCATACCTATCGTCACACAAATCTTTGAAAATATCGAAATGATTCCACTGATATTTTGTGTTTTATGGAGATTAGCATCTTCCTCTCCATAGGTGCTCATTGCATCTTAATATCGGTTCATGAGGTGGCCAAAACTGGCCAAAATTCATGTGCCCTTATATGCCCACGTCAATCTCGGAAAATGTCAAACCAATTGCCACAATATTTTGGACGTTATGGGCGTTAAGGGTTTTCCCCCCATGAGCTGAACATCATTTGATGTCAGAAAACTGATATTCAACTTTATAAAAATCCACGTGGACATCCATACCTATCGTCACACAAATCTTCGAAAATATCGAAATGATTCCACTGATATTTTGTGTTTTATGGAGATTAGCATCTTCCTCTCCATAGGTGCTCATTGCATCTTAATATCGGTTCATGAGGAAAACGCTTGATGCCGGTGTGTCCAAACTTTCGTTTGAGGGCCGCATACAGAAAAATTGAAGAATGAAAGGGCCGCTTTAAAATTGTTTAACTTTTTGAAAAACGCGAAAGTCAGTCAAGAAAGCAGTTGTATGTCGTTTGTATTGTCTAGTTCATGTCATCAGCTTTCTGTTTAAAGTGTTCAAGCAAATAATTGAGGATTTTTCCAATTTTTTGGGGTGGCCAAAAGGAGATTTGACGTTTGAATCTAGTCCGGGCTTTCCTGTGTAGATGTTGCACATGCATGTTAGCCTCATTGAATTGTCCATAGGTGAAAATATATGAGTGTGAATAGTTAGTTTTGTGCCCTGTGATTGGCTTTGGACATTCAAGGTTGAATTCTGATGATGACTGAACACTTAGACTGAGACTTTCAGCATGAAAGAGGAGGCAGACTTCAGAATGTAATAAATTCTTCACTGTCGTTTCATCAGGGTGTGCTGTTCCTTGACTAGTCACTACCTGCCTCAAGCAACCATGCAGGAATGTGTTCAACTATCACGCCAACACCATGTCGTCATCAGCGGCAGCAGGAAAGCCAAGGCAACTTTTAGCACACACGAGCAACGTGAGGTATGTTGTTCAATTTCAGAGAGGAATGTACAGTATATCCAAAGTCCTCGACCAGTTTATAAGGTGCACCTTAGTAGAATATCAAACAGAACAACCTTTTAAGGGTTGGGTTTTGCATTTGCAACATTTTTTTTGTCATCACACTTGTATATTTCGAAATGAATAGATCTATAAAAGTGTCAGTTAAAACTGAAGCTTATTAAAGGGATTATTACAAAAGCTTTGGTTGTACAATAGCGTGGGATGTTGCAATATCCTCAGATGCATGACGACACAATGGCAACACAATATGATATTCGGCCTCTTTGCCACCTTCGAAAAAGCAGCCGGCATGAGAGTTGACACATTATATAATTCCCACCCAGAATGTTTGTTTCAGGCTGACTGGGAAGTGATAACGAGAGCCTGGTGTCACAACTACTCACTCTCTCAATTACAAGTGGTGCCTACACACCAAACTTGGTGGGGGTCCTGCATCCATCATGAAGGCCAATTCATGAATAACCACAGCCATATGCCGATTATGATCTTATATAATAGAAGCACATCTAAGATCTGCAGTCATTGCGAAGCCCAAATCGAAATATGATCCAAATCTCAGATGGTAATGGTAACCCATGCAACTCCGAAATATAAGTACACGCGTCGGGGTGGTTTGGTGACACTCACTCTGTGGCTCCGGTGCCGTTGATGATGTTCCCATCGGGGATCGGGTTGAGTTGGATGGGCTCGGGCTTCCTTCTCTTCTGCATCGCGTTCACAAATGACAAGCGAAACCGCAGCGATGTGAATGAAGATTTTTGTTGTTGTTAATAGTACGAAGGGCTAAAATGAGAATGAAGTGTGAGAACGTGTTAAAAAAGCGACTGCGACGCTGTGACGACTTGCGGGACTGAGATAGTTATTAATGGCTAGATGGGAATCATCCGGAAGATGTGACGTCACGAAATATTGACACTGGTCTTCCGCATGGCCGTGCGTGGCTTAGCGCCCCCTCTGCTGGCGGTGAGACGAATTACAATTCCTAACTTGTAGCAGTGTTCACCCAGGACGCCAATTTTACATAAAAAATATTTCATGGCACGCCACCAAACGACTATACCGAAATCACGATGAGATCACAAAATTGACATATTATCAGGAAGCCTTGAATTATTCTGTTGTATGAACGGCGACAGGTGGATACACAAGTTTGTTGTACCTTCTGCTATCTAGCGTAAGATCATTTCATTGTTTGGCTTGTCATTATATTTCACCGGCATACAGTAGATAGAGGGAAAAGGTACATTATTTTTAGTCTGTCAATAAATATATATTACATTTGATAATTTCCAAAGCATTCTATGGTGTTGGCAGGGCAGTTCCCACATGACTCTGACAGCAAGAAGAAACCAACCCATTGACAACCTGTTAAGATGAGCTCCAGTAAGACGTTTTCGTGCATCTGGTTTGGGTGGATATTTTAATTGCAAAACCGTCTCACACGTAAATGGAGACTGCTTTGCAACAGAGTGCAAAAATGACATTCCGCCTCTTTGTCTATTTTGTATAAATTTGGTGCCCTTTTAAACGTTTGGGTGCACTAAGCTGAAACCACCCGCAAATCCAGCGGTACCATTTGAACACACTGCCCATGTACCATGAAGATCACACGTCAAGTGTGACTTGAAAGCCATGGAAATGTGCTGTGACGTCTCAGCACATTGTCTGGTTGCGGACGCACGAGGCCGCTGAGACGTGTCATCCTGACCAAAGAGCATCTTGCTGCCAGAAGAATCTTTTTCTCCATAAAGCAACACTGACAGACAGGGAGGAAAGATGCTTTTGACAAATTGGCTTTCGTGCAACCAAGGAGAGCAGGCCTGTAATAACCATTCTCCCGCGTGGACCATAAAACAAGTACGCTCACCGAGAATTTTATTTTCACTGCATTTAACCTCTGAGAGTGAAATGTGTTCTTTAAGGCTATGCTGTAAAAAAAAAAAAAACATGTCTTTTTATTCTACAGAGTTATTTTCCAAGTTTTTGGGATATTGTGGTTCAGATTTATGCTCTGGATGAAATCTAATTTGTGAAACTCTCCCCCCCAAAAAAGTGACATTCAAAAAATTGGTTTTACTCCTTGTTACTTGGTTTGGATGTTTGACCTTAACTGTGCCGTAGGATTTATGTGCACAAACACCAGAGTATTAATCTGCTCAGGGGCCAAAGTGAATCAAATTAAGACATAAACCTACAAGCAGAATTTTATCGCGAAGCATCTTGTTGGGATTCTAGCCGAGAATCACAATATCTCGACGTTGCCAATGTGGTTACATTTAACCATTTGTGGAAGACAGTCTCCCATATGTTATAGATATTGGATTATTTTAGAGTGATATTCCCTGGATGGAACAGCATCTTTTAATAATAATATTTTTACATTGTTGTGGTGACCATGCATCACTGACATGAGTCAGGCCGGACGCCATTTTATGTAGGTACTGTACTTATAGTTATCATTTTCAATGCTGCAGTGTTTCTCAACCTTAATTTAGTTAAGGCATACATTTTACACCCCCCCCGCCACACACAAACACAAAAATAAATAAATCCCACGGCACACTACCAAACAAAAATGTCATCATTTTAAAGTACTGCAATAACTATGATCTTGTCAAAGTTTACTCACAAGTGAACTTTGTGTGAAATGTGGGCCTCACACAAAGAAAAGGCTCTTAACGGTCTATGCACTTGCTTTCAAATAGCTATTCTACTTTGTAGATCTTAAAATTCAAGACGCATCCCACAACTTCTAATATGCGCTTGAAGTCATTTGTGAAATTTTTGCTCATGAATACTATATCAGTCGATTTGTCCGCCCACCCCCTTTAACTTGCATGAGGAGTAAGTCCAGAGCAAACACACCAGAGAGGGGCGATGGGAATTGCCAAGTGCCTCGCGGAGCCCAATAAACTTCCCTTTCCAGACTTCAGTCCAACATACTCCAGACAGCGTCTCAGCAACTGCCAGCGACAGCGAACAAGACATAAAAGAGTCGCAGGCCGGAGAGGCAGAACACACTACGTCGTTTGATGCTGAGGATTTGTTGCCTCATCCGCCGCTACTCCGTGAGGGGACTTGGGGATTTGTGGTCAGGGATTACAGCGGGCCACGACGGCCGCGTCTGAAGCTGATGATAACAGCGGCCGCTCGCCAACAGGCCCCGACCGTACAAGTGTAACAACTGAGGTTGGCGCAGGATGGGACAACTTTAAGTGTATGCAAGATGACTACCGTCTCTTTGCTTGTGTGGTTTTTTTCCGGATGTTCAAGCTGGCTGTCGGTGTTGATGTGAGTGTGACTGACTGGTTGTCTCTCTTATTTGTCAGTCTTGTGACTGACAGGTGATGATCACAAGGTCGACCCTGCTGGGATTTGGCTCCAGGGTGTAAGCGGTGTGGAAAGTGGAAGGATTCCGCCATGGGAGTCCGCAAGCAGCACATGTAAGCCTTCACTTTCATCCCTGTTTGATGGACAGGATGGAAGGCAGACAAGACGGTTTTTGTTGCCTCTGCTGAGTGTGAAAGAAGGAAACTGAAAGCCTGTCTTGTTTTGATTAGCGTTTGTTTGTAAGCAGGAAAACTACTCTGGGTTTCTACATCTCAAATAAAAGACATTTTGATACGCATGTCGATATATGGGGTGCGATACAGTTCAAGGACTGTCCATTTTAAAGTCAAACGATTCGGTTCAATTCAATACACTCGCATTTTTAAAAATCAAAACTCAGTTTCCGATTCAAATTCATTTTTTGTTGAACGAAATGGGAAAAAATAAATCAAGCTTAAAAACTACTCGAATGAGTACCCCACTCAATCGCGTGGAAGGGTGACACATATATACAGTACCAATACACTTTTTACATTTTTCTTTTTATTGTTTGAGAAACATGGGACCCCCATGCCCCCCCCAAAAAAAAAAGACAAACAAAACAATCTTTTGCAAATTAGCCAAGCCCTAAACGCCATAGAAGTTATTCAATTGAATTATTAGTTATTGGCTACAAATAATATGTCTGTGTTCTTCAGAGGTCCAAGTAACCTAACCAAGCGCTCCTTCTTTTTGAGATGGTGTTTGTATTTATTTTTTTTTCTGCTGGCTTGCCCTTTGAGATAACCAGAGCAAAGACTCAATTGAAACTAGATCCTCATTTCAGTGGATATTTAGTGTGACATTTGTTTGGTAATAGTTTTCTTTTTTTAAAATTTAAACTACCTTGGCTTGACAAAGGCTGTAAAAACACTGTACTAACCAATTTACAGAGATACAAACAAAGACATTTGATGCAGCACAACTTTTTCACTTTTCTTAAGACGGACAGTTACTGTCGACTTCATCGCCCCTTTCTGTTGTCGTGTAGATATCATCATTGGAAAAAGCGGCGAATATGGCCACGCGCCGCGTGTCAGGAAGGGCCAGTGAGAGATTTCATCCAAAAAGCACCAAACCTTGCAGTCTCTTGAGTTAAGTGATGGATTGTGACATTTCATTCCGATCCTCATGTCACTTCGATGTCGCCCGGTGCAGCTGGTTCCCATCTGTTTTTGCAAAGATAACGCAGTGAACCAATACAAATGCTCCTTGCAAATGTTGTCTTTAACATTCAGGACGAGCAAAGCCAAAGAGCACACTCAGAGGATGGCACGTTCACAATGTGTCACAATCCACATTCAGTCAAATGTATGACTCAGTGACAGTGAACTTCTTGAACTCAACAGATGTGCACGAATCTAACTATAAAGTTGTATTTTAAATACACTTTGTGCTCCGCGTCTATCAATAGCCTGCATTCATATCACACCTTTCCATTTTCAGGGTTCACAAATTCCCGCAATGACGATGGGAAAGTGATGAAGCAGCATCAGGCGCTGCCGGTGGTTGAGTTTCTTGCCCAAGGACACTTCAACTGGACTGAAGGAGAGCCGTGGATGGAACTTACAACCTTGTGGACAGCCAAGCTGGCACTCGAACTAAGATGTCCCAGGACACTGTGAGCTTCGACAATTTCACTTTGCAAAAGCGCGGTATGCTGATTATGAGCACCATTACTCATGTAGAGAGTGAGACTGGGATTTGCACCAGACTTGCGCTGAGCATGAAAATAGGGCCCGATTGCTGATTCGATATTATCGATCCAATAAGTACGATACTTAAAATATGATAAGGTTGGCTGTGATGTCATTCATATAATACAATAGATATATTTGATACATGACAAATCATACAGTAAATAGAATGACAAAACTGTAGATAAGATAAGATAACCTTTATTTGTCCCACACTGGGGAGATTTGAAATATAGAAAGCAAAGATAGATTCTGTATAATACAGTACAATAGTATAGATAAAAATTGATGCATAAATTATTGATCATTGATAATATTGATGTTGGATAAGTACATAAATTATGACAATAGATTTTGTGGATATGATTGATAGGTCTGTGGCAAGATGTGATGCGATATAGATTTGATACAGCAGGTTAGCATGTTGGTTGAATGGTTACCGCATCTTACTTACAGTATTCAGGTTCAGAATTTGAAACTCAGATCTGGCCTTTCTCTGCAATTGGCTGGCGACTAGACCAGGGTGCAACCCGCTTTAATTCTAATATCAGCCGGGATAGGCTTCAGGCCACCAGTGACTCAAATGACGATAAGCGGCATCGAAATGAATGCAGGGACGGATGCTTTGGTAAGCTAGATAGATACGATGTTCTATTATTTACACTCCATAGATAAAGCGTCACAGGAGTGCTTAGGAGTGACAATGTAGGTTCATCGGGGACTGGAACGTGTTCAGTTTTTGGATTTCTGCACATTCTCACAAGATGGGAAATTGTATTATCATGCTTGAACATCACCAGATGCTACAGCAAAACATATTCTATTTTCCTATCAAAAACTTGCACCTGTGTGCGCATCTGTTGTCCCCAACCTCATCAAGTGTAAACCGAGTTGAGCACCTCACCGCTCGAGTCCGTTATGTCCTATTGAATTTTGTTTACATATATGAAATCATACTTGAATTCAATCCGTGGAGCCACCCACATCCCATTAATGAATTGACCAAACATACAATCCATGCACATGTTTTCCAATGAAAATGTGGCCCTGTTGTTACATTGAACAGAATAAAGACATTTACATCAGTGAGCTCAGGTGTAAAATCAGCCATTGACCTATTCGGCACCCGCTTGTCAGTGAATATTGTGCTTAGATGTCGCCGTGATTGCCGTGATGTTAGGGGTCTTTGTGACCCTTTGTTCACTCTTCCCAACAGAAGCTTTTCGTCTTTTGTGATGTGTCCGAAACTACCAGTCTGTGAACCTTTTCTAAAAAGCAGATACTTGAGTAGCTTGATGGCACTTTAATGAGGCAGCAAGAAGGGGGCGGGGGGATGCGAGAAAATGATTTTTTTTTTTTAGAGAACACAGAAAAGCGCGACTGCAAGGGTGCTCAAAAGACATCTCAGTGTGTGGAAATGTGTGTGGGGGAGAGAAAGTGGGGGGTGGGGGGGCTTTATTTCATCAACATGCAAACACCAGATACCTTTGTTGTGAAGTCACGTGCGGTGTCGTAGCTAGCTTCTGGGTTCAAACATTCATCAGAAAAAACAGTGCCTCCTGAAAGAAGTCTCATTCTCCCTGATTTGCGTCTTTTCTTGCTTCACCAGAAAACTGAGGTGTTCACTCTTGCAGAAAAACGCCTGCTCCCGATCATGATAATTAAACCTTTCCAACCAATTTAGTCACTCTTCCTCCACATCATATTGACTGTTGCTGCCAGTGGTCAGTAGCGGAAGGAATAAAAATCAAGAGAATGTTATTTGAGTTATGTTTTTTGTGTGGTAGAACAGTCATCCCTCACAAATATTCCATTTACATTCACAGTCACGCCGATGGATAATTTTGATTTGAATTTCTTTACTCATCGTAATCTCTCAATGGGAAATTCGAATTCACGAGAGGAGATGTCGGAGTCAAAGTGTCACGCAAACCTTTTGACCTTGGGGGTTGAAGTTGGGGTTGGGTCGGTACCTTGCTCGTGGGCACATCAACAGAGTAGCATCCGTTCAATGGGTAGTTTCCGTCTGTCCCGCACTCCGCAGTGGGAATTGAACTATAACCCCTCTCCGTTTTATTTCAACTATATGAACATGGTGGCCAATGTCTTTTTTTTTTTTTTTTATGTGAGTTTCTGAGTGGGTTAAAAAATGGTTTTTAGAAAGTAAAGCATATTTAAGTATAAGTTTCACTATATGAACATGGTGGCCATGTCTTTTTTTTTTTTTTAATTTTTTTATGTGAGTTTCTGAGTGGGTTAAAAAAAGGTACCGAGGCCCGTTTTTAGAAAGTAAAGCATATTTAAGTATAAGTTTCTGTTTTCATGTAAAAAGCCGTCATAAAAATAACAACGTGTAGTACGGACATCAGAAAACTCTATTTTCGAAGTTACTTCCCACCACGGTTTTTTTTTTAAAGTGGAAAAAACAAACGTGTGTAGGATGAAGATAGGCGTGGCCTCATCAGCCGGTGTGACGTCACTGCAGTTTAAAGTGGGCCGCGTTGTAGTCACATCAGAAAACTCTATTTACGAAGTTACTTCCCACCACAGTTTTTTCAAGTGGAAAGACAAACGTGTGTCGGATGAAGATAGGCGTGGCCTCATCAACCGGTGTGACGTCACTGCAGTTTAAAGTGGGCCGCGCTTGAGCCTCAGATAAGCATCCGCGGGGGGGAGAGCCAAGCAGGAGAAGGAGAAGAGAGAAGTGTGCACGCCGCTGCATCCTGTGACTCAGGTCGGATCACCAAGCATGCTGAATTTGCACTTAATCATGGAAGAGTGTGACACCGGCACCACCCGGAAATATCTCATTTATTGAGGGTGACAACTTGGCGTCCCAAGCCTAATCCACTGGGGGGTGAGTTTGGATTTATCTCCTTAATAATCGATATGTGTCCTTTTAATTGGCAGTGACGAGCAATGATGACACGTCGGCGATTGTTGCTCTGATCTATTTGGTTGTTTTTGTTTTTCTACGAGTTTGAAGCGCGCTGTCATTTTTTTTTCCTGGTGGGGCTTTTGGTGGAAGCTATCGGGCTGGTGGCTGTGATAAATTGGGCTTTCTATTTAATTGGACTGTTGGCGAGTCCGTGCTATGAAAAGAGGCGTCGTGTGCCAAAAGATGAGGGGAGGAAAACGCTCGATCAGCTAGGAGAGCTTTTCAATTTACTGCCAGCTCCACGCATTGTGTCGCACAGCTTCCGTGCTCCAGCAACGCTAACACTTTCAACGTATATTCATGCAAATGACATGTAAGTGCGTTCCAGGGTAGCTCAATTGTGAACTGAAGTGCAACAGCGTGCAATTTTCATTCTTCAAGTGAAGCCCACAAACGCCTCATTTGCTCCCCAATTGTACACTTAATTACTTGTCCTTCTTTCCTTCTTGTGAAATGTTAAGTTTCACTTTAAATGTAATTTAATTGTCTCCCACAGTCTATTATTCATTTTCAATGAGAGCTCGAGATAAAGTTTTGTCCTTCCCAGAGGATGAATGCGAGTGATGAATGTTCTGATTCAGAGCAGAAGATCCCTTGCACACGTACGTGCTGTCACACACTTCAACCGCTAGATGGCAGTAGACTGCAGGCTACAGAAGCTGATTAAACTCTCATTACTCGCTTCGTCAAAGTAGCAATTGTTAAATAATGGAGATGTTACCGCTTTGTGAGGGATTGAATCTAACCAAATCAGGCCATTTAGTAAAATAACTGACTCCCCCCATATAGCGGGGAAAAAAAAAACACATTGCAATATTGTGTGCACTATTCGAGCCGCATATATTACGGTATATTTTAGCCACAGCTCTGCTTGGCTTCTCCAAAGCCATTAATCATAATTGAATTATCTTTACATGAGTGAATGTTTAGATTATATCAAATTCATCAATGCTTGGAAAACTGAATTAATTTTATTTCATGATATCTTTGCTTGTTTATACATTTTAAGCTCGACAGTTCTCCAATTAAAAAAAATGTGTGTAGATACAAATATTTTGCCCCATTAAAAAAAAAAAAATCCCAAAGCTTTCAGTTATGAATGTAATTATTTCATAAACAATGCTTAGCTGGATGCACATTTTGCCCACCAATTATATTCCATATTGATGTTTTCACAGTAAAAAAAAAAAATCAGTGCTGTTGCAGTTTGGTGGAAATCTGAGGTGTGTGGCCATATTCAACAAGAAGACTAAGCTATCATAAAGCAGACACTTCAAGGGCAAAATAAGCCGCGCAAACTTTTTGTGTTTGTGCTTTACAGTCCAGTAAAACTCATCCACCGGAAATCCTGCCTTTAATCAATACGTGAAACTAGTGCTGATGAGTGAACGTCTGAGACTGGAGAGGCTTGACATTTCACCAAGGACGCTTTGCTTTTGCTGCTCCTTGTTATATTTTCCTATTCTCAGTGTTGATTAGGAAAAATGGAACGGATTTGTTTTAATGTGACATTTTAACAGCCGTTGAATATAGATGAAAAACACATGGCCACAAATTTATCTGTATGGTCATTTGGATCCGTTCATGCGCACTATTAATTCATTAAGAATAACCACGAGTGTTCCGCTTTATTAGTCCTTTGTCTGGTGATTGTTGCCGTGTGCTGTGCAGTGTGCCTAATGATGCGGAGTGTCCAGTTTGCAAGGCCGACTTATTTCGGAGAGCTCAGCACTCTGAATTCAGTTTGGTTTTTTTTTTTGGTTTTTTTTATAAGCTGACATGTGAACACCGCAACATATATTGTTATAATTCAAGGCAAACTTCAACTAGGGTTGTGTTGCGCTGTTTTGTTCTAGTCTGTCAAAAATGCCTCAAAAGCAACAGCACCGATGACCTTTATCCCGCGAATTAAGCTGTTTTTGCTCTGCCCTGACTGATAGCGCTTATTATTTCAGTGAAAAAAAAAAGAAAAAAACCACAGTCAACGTTTGGCAAACACCCTGGAGCCATAACAAGTGCATTAAGAGAACTTAATGAAATACATGGCGGTAGAGGGCTTGCACTTTGCTTTCCTTGTGAAAGCTGCGGCATTTAGATGTTTGTGCAGAGGAAGTGAAAAGACAGCATCGAGCTGCTCTTCTGTACAATAGGAGGACCAGACCATGATGGATTTTATGGATTTTTTTTTAGGACAATAACAATAGTTCACAGAATAAAATTCTGAGTCCTGATTAATTGGTTGATTAAAAAAATAATAAATAAAAATTATATGTATCATGTAATATAACTTCTTTATTTTTTTTTTTTAGTCCTCAAGTACAGGCAGAACATTTGACTGCTTCTAACTGCTTGAGTATGCATTTTGTTAACTTTATAACATAAAGGGGAAAAAAAATGGGCAAAAATCAGCCATTTTTGCATTTTTTGTGTGGGGGGGGGGGGAGTCGGAGAACTTTTGAATGTCATCTTTGTTTTCTGTTGTATTCAGAATCAATTCACTGGACAAGTATGGAAGAACACAAAACGTGTTAAAAAAATTGGCAAAAATATTGGGGATTTTTGCTAATTTTAAAATGGGACGTACTGGGCAATTAAATCGGTCGGACCCTAATTATCATAACTTGCACGCAGCTGACATTTATTGCTTCAGTGTTTCCCAGCCTTTATGCAGCCACGGCACATTTGATACATTTGACACATCTTAAACCACCAAATAGTGTCATGAAAATCTGATCAAATCATGTTGATCTTATCACTGTTTACTTTGCAAGCTCTGTTCATGTGTGGTCGAACATAAAGCTGGCACACAGTCGTAATATTTAATTGTTCACTGGTTCTTAAAGTCTCTGGCATTGTTAGATGAGCAAAAAGACATTATTTGTCAGATAGAAATCATAATCTTTGGAGTTTTTAAGTGGAATTGGATCCTTTCCCTGAGCATACTCGATTATCTCTCACGGCACGCTAATGACAAACATCGATAGAAATTTTGCCTTGACAAAGTTGATGCTCAAGTATTGTGGTTGTTGTTTGCTCTATTGCATTAGCGCGGTCCCTCACACAATAATTGTCAAAGCGCGATATGCACATCCCATGACAGTGGTATGCCAATCACTGCCCAAGTACAGTTCAGTTGTATTTAACTTTTTAATAAAATACATCTGTGTTTAATCTGTGCGTTTTAATTGAGTTACAGTTGCGAACTTTTATCTGCCATACATATTAATTGAAGCATTAGTGATGTGTGTTAATGTTCAAACTGTGCATAATGTTACAGTACCTTTCAATCATTTCAATACTTTTTACTTGTTCGGTTTTTTTTTTGATGATTAATTAGTCTCCTTATTTTCTGTCATTGACTGTAGGCTCTGATCGTGACACTTTGAGAGCTAAGTCCTTTCTGAAGTGTGGTATAAAAAGTTTGAGAACCACTGATCTCATCACACATTGAGAGAGAGTGCTAAAATATTAAGATCAGCTCAGAACACAACCGTGTGATGCAGTACAGTTCAACCACAACCCCGCACACGTTATTAAATGCACACCCCAATCCGAAGTGAGTCCTATTAACTTTAAGACACAATATTTGCCATTTGACCGCATTATATTGTGCAAGTGGCCATAATGTTATGCCCCGTTAATGTATTTTTATGATACAGCCCATATTGCTGAGGCTTAAGAAATCTTGCCCTTGGTGAAGAAAATACAGTACATGTTGTGCACTAAAATGTTTTATTAACAGCAGTCAAAGTGCAAAATGATGATAGATTGTTCAAGTGCCACGTGACTCGGCTGAACGGCACAGGCATTGTCCGACATCAGCAATTTAAATTCAGCTTCGTTAAGCTGTCTCTCTCACAGGTCTGACCGTGTCTGCATCTGATTACGGGTGCGAGCATTTAATTAATAATTGGACACTTGCCGACGGTCATGTTGGTCAGCCGGCACTCTGCGGAGAAACAGATTGCCTCGCTCTGATATGCAAGCGAGGAGGGCAAACGGCGAAGGCAGGCCGATTTTTGGAGATATGGAAGCTCCGGTGTGGCGCCATGTTAATCCAATTTTCCCAAGGTGCACCCCCCCCAACCCCCTCAGGGGAGGGACGTCTGCACTGATTCTTGCTGTGCACTGACGAATGAACTCATTAGTTTCTTTCTTGTTTAAAGACATTCCTACGTCCATTTTGTGGGAAGCCTGTGACTTTTTGCCCATGTAAGTGTCCACCCGCCATGGCTCCTCTGAAGCTTTTTCACTCTCACTTCAAGTCAAAGAAGTGACACTACGTTTATTTTCCAGCACGATGATGTCGAAATGAGCAGCAGCGAGCCTCCGTGTGCGCATTTGGGATGTGTTTGTGCTTTGTCGAAAAGGCTATCATTCACCATTAAGCCTGAGACAGCAAAAAATCCTCTCTTCATCTTCATCAGGATGTCTACGGCCGGTTACCTCCTGCTTGAACATCTGCAGAGGAGATAAATAGGCTTTTATCACTAATTACAGCGGACTTAGAAAATGTAATCCAATTGAATACTTTACGCAGGGGTCTCCAAAGTCTGGGTGGGGTGGGGGGGCGTCTGCAGACCCACAGCTTGTTTTGGTTGTCCCTGCGGCATGTTCTGCAAATACAATTAAATCCTGGCCGCAGGTTATTCCGGGGTAATAGCATGTTAGCATGTTTAATAAACAAAAGGGGACAAATATCAAAGTGACCCTTTGCATCCTTCAATTTCTCGACAATTAGCAACAATACTCATTTCAACGGTGTTCTTCTTTTGAAATGATTGAATCCCCGAGACGCGACAAGCACGCAGCCCATGAGGTTGATTGACGGTCAAACGATATTTAACCAACAAGGGAACCGTACAAATAATTTACAACAGCAATCTGTTCCAATGTTCGACCGCCATTTCTAAAATTTT